GGGCCAGAGGGTCTCTGTCGGGACGGGGACGCCCCAGATGCCGAAGCCCAGGGGATCTGGCCGGCGTGTCCTGCCCCACGCAGGAATGGCACCCTCCCCCCACCCCCAGGCTCGGAGTTCCAGATTTCCCATCCCTGGAGGCTTTCAGGTTTCCCTCGGAAGCGGGTTTCGCGGCTCTTTTGGAGACGCCAAGAGGGGGTGTGAAAGGTCCCTCCCTCTCAGGCCCCCTCGCTGACTTCCAGCTCCCTAGGGTCCCGTTACTTGGGTGAGTCTTCAAGTCCTCAGGGTGGGGCCTCAGCAACAGATAAGATAGTGGCGCTGGAGGAGGATGGGGACCCTGGTCTGGTAGGCTTCCCCCCCCCCCCCCCCCACCCCCCTACCCACCCTGGAGATTGCTTCATTCCTGACCAGCTTTCTCATTTGCATTCCTGACAGGATTAAGGCTTGAGCTGAGCAGAGAGAGAGGCTTCCCTCCCTCTCCCCCTGCCAAGAGGAAGCCGCTTCATGGAGCCGCCCCCCATGGCTTTGCCGCCAGGCCTGGCAGGGCTGCTGTTTCTGCTCCTGGGCCGCTTGGCGCTCGGGCAGAGCTCGGCAGTGCTGGGCACGCTAGACTTGCAGATTGACGAGGAGCAGCCGGCCGGCACCATCATTGGGGACATCAGTGCCGGCCTCCCCCCAGGCGTGACCACCTACATGTACTTCATCTCCGCTCAGGAAGGGAGCGGGGTGGCCACCGACTTGGAGATCGATGAGAACACGGGCATCATCAAGACGGCCCGCGTACTGGACCACGAGAGCCGTGAGCACTACAGCTTCATTGCGGTCACCCCAGAAGGTGCCACGGTGGAGGTCCACGTGCAGGTCACCGACATCAACGACCACGTGCCCAGCTTCCCTAAGCGGCGGGGCTCCCTCCAGATCCCTGAGCACACCCCGCTGGGCAGCCGGTTCCCGCTTGAGCCTGCCTTGGACGCGGACAGCGGCCTGCTCAGCACCCAGGGCTACGCTCTCAAGGGGGGGAATGTGGGCCAGGCTTTCCGCCTAGAGACACGCCGTGGGCCAGATGGAGTCCTGCACCCAGAGTTAGTGGTGAGCAGCATCTTAGACCGGGAGATCCTCTCCACCTACACTCTGTCCCTGGAGGCCTACGATGGTGGGTCCCCACCTAGGAGCTCCCAAATGACTCTGGAGGTGGCGGTCCAGGACATCAATGACAACGCCCCGGCCTTCAACCAGAGCCGCTACCACACGCTGATCCCGGAGAACCTCCAGCCTGGGAGCAGCATCATGCAGGTGTTCGCCTCAGATGCTGACGAAGGGGACAACGGCGTTGTGGTGTATGAAATCAACCGCCGGCAAAGCGATCCCGAGCAGTACTTCACCATCGACGCCCTCACAGGAGTGATCAAGCTGAACAAGGGGCTGGACTACGAGCTGCGGAAAGTGCATGAGTTGGTGGTGCAAGCCCGGGACAGGGCCGTGCACCCGGAGGTCTCCACCGCCTTTGTCACCATCCAGGTGCGAGACTACAATGACAACCAGCCCACCATGACCATCATATTCCTCAGCGAGGACGGCTCTCCTCGCATCTCAGAGGGGGCCCAGCCGGGACAGTTTGTGGCCCGCATCTCTGTCTCGGACCCTGATTATGGCGAGTACGCCAACGTCAACGTCTCTTTGGAAGGGGGGGAAGGGAAATTTGCCCTCACCACCAAGGACAACATCATTTACCTGATCTGCGTGGATCAAATGCTGGACCGAGAAGAACGGGACTCCTATGAGCTGCGTGTGACGGCTACGGATGCAGGAACGCCTCCACTTCGCGCTGAGTCCGCTTTTGTGCTCCAGGTGACGGATATCAACGACAACCCGCCCCTGTTTGACGTGCAAGAGTACGAACAAAGCGTCCCGGAGGTGGTCTATCCGGGAAGCTTCGTGCTGCAGGTGACCGCCCGTGACAAAGACCAGGGTGCCAACGGCGAGGTCCGGTACAGCATCCTGCACACCCACCACACTCATTCTCACTGGTTTGCCATCGACCCCGTCACGGGCATTGTCACCACGGCCTCTTCCCTGGACTACGAGATCGACCCCCAGCCCCAGGTGACTGTATTGGCCACAGATAGGGGCAGGCCGCCCCTTTCCTCCACCGCTGTTCTTCGGGTGGCGCTGCAGGATGTCAACGACAATGAGCCTATCTTTGAAAGAAACTTCTACAACATCTCCGTGAAAGAAGACGTACCTCCTGGCACCTGCTTCCTCCAGGTGAGTGCGGTTCTGGGGGAGGCCTCTGAGCAACTTGTTCTGTTTTGGGGGAAGGGGGAGCCCCTGAGGGCACCATTGTTACATCTTCCAAAGGGGGCTGTGATTGTTTCTGTCTGTTGCAGCACAAACAGTGAGTCCCATGGTGAGCAGGCTGTGACCCACAGCCACTTCCATCAAAGGTGATAATAAGGGGCCACCCAAAATGTCAGGCATAAAAAGGTGGTACCTGTTGTGGGGGCAGGGCTGTAGGGAGAGGTGTGAGAGGGAAATGGCATGTCGAAAGGTGGGGGACCTTCTGGAACTAGACGCTCTAATTAGCTAATCAGATGTGATAAGAATTTGATGTCCTCGTTCAAACTTCTTGCGATAGACTGGAACTTCTTCACAGACTCTCGTTCCAATCTCAGTATGAAGCAAGCAACCCATTCAGTGCTTCAGTCTGTTAAATGAACTAGCCATCGTCCAGATTTTTGGCCACCTGCACAGTTGTGTGAATTGCACACTTTGTAGGGATGCAATGGCAGTTTTGTGCAAAAGCTTAGTTTACAGAAGAAAACCACTCTTTTCACAAAAAACATTCTCACCAGCACAAGAACTCTGTGGAAATGCTAGGAAGCTCCTTGTCATCTCCTTGCAGCTGAGAGGGAGAACATGGCAGTTTACTGTTCTCATGTGTGAATAGCAGACAGAAGAAGCTTTGTGTCCGTATTGTGTACAGGTTGGACTTGCCCTACATCACAAGCTGAATAGGAGGCAACTGTGTGATGTGGCTACAAAAAAGAGGTCAATGCTGTTTTAGACTGTATTTACAGAAATAAGAGTCTCCATATCCCGTGAGGTGCTAGTTGTCCTGTATTTGACACCGGTTAGGCCTCACCTTGAGTCCTGTGTCCATTTCTGGGCACCACACTTCAAGAAGGATGCTGACATATTGGAAAAAGTTCAGAGGAGAACAACAAGGAGGATCAGGGGGTTGGAAACCAAGCCCTGTGAGGAAAGGCTGAAAAAAAAATGGACATGTTTAGCCTTGAGAAAAGAAGAGTGAGGGGTGATAGGAGAGCACTTTTCAAATATTTGAAAGGCTGTCCTACTCTTGATCATCCCAGAGTGCAAGACACGCAACCATGGGCTCAAGTTAAAGGAAGCCAGATTTCAGTGGAATATCAGGACATTTTTCCTCACTGTTAGAGCAGTTTGGCAATAAGGGAGGGCGTGCTCCAGTACTGGCATTCAAGAGAAATGTAGACCACCCCCTCTCAGATCTGCTTGGATTAGGATTCCTGCGTCGTTGAGCAGGGAGTTGGAGTGGACGGCTTTAGAGGCCCCTTCCTGCTTCCTTCTCTATGATTCTGCATTGCTTGACAACAGAATGCCAAAGAGGAGGTGGGCGACAGGACATGGGAGAGAGAGTGCCCTGGGCGGTGGTCAGTTGTCTGCGTGCCTGGTATCGGGCCAATATGGCTTGGCCTTGGAGCGAGGCTGGCCAAGTACGCAACGCCAGGGACCAGACCCTCCCCAAGTGGCCAGGAGCAGTTGCCAGTCCCTTCTTGTTGTGTCTACAGGGATGACACTGTAGCAGATCTGAACTGAACGGCAGTGCCCTGAGAGGTCTGCTTAGAGCATATCCTCAGTGCCACGTCCACCCCTGCAAGGGGGCAGCATTTATAGTAGAATTTATAGCATTTTTAATAGAACGGTAGCCGTTCTTGTTTGACTCTTTTTGCACCCCCATCCTTGCCACGGTCAAGGGTGTGTGATGCCGTCCACAGCTCTGAGCAAGGTGGTTTTGCCCCCTCAGTAGTCACATGCCCCCTCCTCAGCTTTTCTGGTCTGCCACAAGTACAGGATTGGACAAAAAGAACAGAGAGGGCCTCCCTGTTTCTCTCTGGGAGAATTTCCCGGAGCTCTTTGCTCACCCAGTGATGAGGAAGTTTCCTTTGCCCAGAGATTAGGTCCCAGAGAAGACACTAACCAGCCACTCATGCCCTCCCTTTTCCCGTTTCCCAGATCTGCCTGTCTGCAGAGCCAGACCGCAGAAACGTTTGGGCCAGCCTCGAGCTGCCCTGGGTTTTGCATGCGGAGGGCCTTGGTAAGCAGACCTTGAAAGCGACGAGGGCCCCTCTGTTGGGAGGGCAGCTTGTGCCCATCCGTGGCTTGGATCAATTAAAATGCTACCACACATCTCGGCATGTCTGGCGTGGCCTGAGCAGGAACTTTGCTGAGAAAGTCAGCCGGATAACTTTCTCACTCCATCCGGTTGCCACAAAGATAGGTTGGTGTAAAGAACCCCATGACTGTTTAGGTTCCAGGGGACGCCGCCTTCTGGTGCTGGGCCCAGGTTGCCATGAGGAGCAGTTGCTTGTTTCCTCCTCTCGTGCTGTGGTGTCTGAAAGAGCACGGTGCGTCTTTCGAAGCATGTTCAAAGGCGGGAGGCCTCTGGGCAGCTCCGTTCTTAGCGTTCAGCAGACCATGTTAGCCAGCTCTGACCCTTTCTTCCGGAAGTGGCTAAAATAAGACGTGGCATGTCATGCAGGGCACGTGGAAGGAAAGGGGACGGCAGGATGAGTCTTGTTCATTGTGTTTCCTTCTAACCTTTGGGTTGCTCACAGTATGTGGAGGTGTCACACCGCTTGAAATATTTTGAGCATTAAAACTATTCTGGGCAGTGTGAGTGGTTCCTTTGCAGGTACCCAAAAAGGGAGCCTCGGTGCACGTTCCGCGTTGATTCCAAAGTGTTCTGTGCAGGGCATCAAGGGCACTTTCCCTTCATGGTCATCCTTCTTTGGTTTCTTCTCTCTCCCCCCACCCACCACCAGCTATTTGTTTTCCAGAACGTGGAATGTGCGTGACGTAATTATTTGTCTCTTGCTTTGTTTCCTCTGCATCCAGAAAGCTGGCAGGGATCGGCCCTGGAGTTGCCCTTAACGGAACTGCAGTTCTTTGGAACAGCTTTTCCTGTTGGCTGACTGCAGCTCCTTGTCTCCTTGAGAGACTCCTGCTGCTGCTGCTGCTGCTGCTGCTGATGCCTGTGCTGTGCGTGACGTGAGAGGCTTAGGGCAAACCACAGCGCTCCCCTCATGTGAGCACAGTGGCTGTCGACCAAGGCCCAGAACCACTGCATGGATGGAGGCCCAGTGGCTTTCTCCAGCTTGGAAGGGATGCATCTGCACGTGACACTGGCCTGCTTCTTTTGGATGCCTTTGTTTGAATCGAGGCAGCACCTTTTAGCCTAGGGAAAGACGCTCCATCTTATTCAGAAACAGAAACTCCAAGGATGTCTTAAAGCCCAACAAACATTTTGTGGCATGCGCTTCATGTACTGCCACTCCCCTACTCTGCTGACACACTCCATGAAGTCAACTTTAACCCAGCGAAGCTCATGCTATTCAAAATGTCTGCATCTTCTAGATGCCACAGGGATCTTTACTGAGGCTGCCCCTTTGGAACCATCTTTCAAACCACTTACACAATCTAATTAACTTAATGTAATTAAAATACAGAAAGCTCAGTGAGGAGTGCGGCTATAGGAGCTTAGCTTTTGAAGCCATAGTCTATGCCCTTGCTCCAAAGGACTTGGAAGGAAGCTTGAAAGACCAAAATCAAACAGAGCTGCAAAACAGCCTCTGAGGTCACCCAGGGAATGGTGGGGAAGGAGGAAGGAAGGTAGGGGTGTGTGTGTGTGGACATGTGCTGCTTCTTGCAATCCGTACCGCAAACTGCCTACATTGCACTTGGGGGAGGAACATCACGGAACGTGAGCATGCCATCTTAAGAGCATGTTCAGTCTTGACTGTGTGGTTTCAGCTGGGCTCCTTGGGCTGGATTGTGCCCAATGTGTGCTGTTTGAAGACCTTAGCTGTGCTTTTTTTTTCCTGGCAAGTCCAGGGTACTTCAAATGGCAACTTGGCAGACAAATTTCAACCCAAATTATCTAAAAAATAGGAAATTGCTGATTCTAAGCTTTTTAAAAGTATCTTGTTGCATTTGGTCTCACACAATGAATGAACTGTAAGTTCGGTTCTGGCCAAAGGGACAGAGAACTAAATTGAGGGAGGTTTGGGTTCCTGACAAGAAGTGCTTCTTCAGGATTGCACCGACTATTCTGGCTTCTTGCATCTCTGAAGCCTGTTTGACCCAGCAGGCCTCTCAGAAGGTCTTTGTGCAGCACTCAGCCTTAGGTTGCTCTTGCGTTCTTTTAAGAGCACGAAGTAGTTTTCCTTGGAGAGCTGTCAATGTAGGCACTGGGTTAAGCAGCCAGACCCACTCCTGTGACTGAATTAGGTCGATCAGTTTCGATCATACAATTATTAGAAGCTAAGAAAAATGCTCCAAATAACAATCCAGAGTAATACAAAAAGCCTGCCACGCATACTGTTTGTGGCATTGCTTGTGAGCCAAACCTCCCAGCCCTCTTTTGAATTTTCCCCCAGGGAAAAATTAAACCCCAAGGTACGCAAATCTCTTGGTTAGTTTTGTTCCCTTCTGCCCAATCCCTCCCACGTGTGCCCTTGCATTCTTCTTTTCTGTCAGGGGCTGGGGGCTCTGGCAAGTATCGCGATGCATTTACTCAGTAACCACCAAAGGGCAATCCTGCCATGGCTCCCTATGCCCCAGTGGGCTCCCTTTTACAGACAGGGTCACTCTTGCATTGGTAGTGAGGTTGGTAACACAGTGGGTTGTAGGATTGCTTGTGTGACAGGGACTCTCCTCGTGCAAGGGAAAGCTTGTGGAAGGCAAGAAAGAAGCCTTCGGCTGATAACATGGGCTTAAACTGAGAGTGTTCCTGAGCCTGCACTAACCCTTGATTGGACTGTCAGTGGACGGTGTGTGTCTAGTTCACCAAATCCACTTGTTGGACCCAAGCGTGGGAAAGCTCTAATTGGACCCCAATTCACCACTGAGTCTTGGTGACGGTGGCAAGGCAAGATCTCTCTCTCTCTCTCTCTCTCTCTCTCTCTCTCTCTCTCTTTCTTTCCTTTGACCCCCCAATCCACACAACC